GTGATACAACGGTGCACATAAAGACGCGTGTTATATATACTTTGTGCAATCGTAGGCTTTTGCTGGGCACGTTAATTTGGAGAATTGTTAACTGAACCAGAAGGTTGTGGCAGGCTTGTGTGGACAGATAAACATAGCGTTAGCTTGCATCTACGAACAACCGCGTGGAGCAAGGAGCTGGAAAAAGTGATACCGTAGGAAGGTAGAATGGTTATTCCAGCCGGAGTTCCTGATAGGGCTGAACATGATCTCGACAGAGTCATCTGCAGCGGATGGCAGTAGTTATATGCTTACAAGGTCACACGTAACAGACTAGATGACCCTGTCGGTTTTTCGCCCAAAACAAGTTCCCTTATCTTTCCTCTGAAATATTTCAGTTTTCAGTGAAATCCATAATGCTGCTTGCTTCAGCCAGAGCCAGGCAAGGGACCCAGCTGTGTAGGCATTTCAACTTCATCACTAACCGCTAAGGAAATAATGAAGGTTGTAATAAGTACGGCACCCGAAGTTCTGTTTGTTTTCCCAGTAACAGTGGAACACCAAAACCTTGCTGCAGTACAATCAGCGAAATGCGAAAGCCTTGTATACCAGTGCTGTAGCGTCATTTCTGTGATTTCCGCGTGTGTCACTGTGAACAGGTGTACATTTGGTTTGCATCAAATTTTCTTAGAAAGACTCCTGACTACGCAGATTTAATTAATTGCATGGCTGCACTGAAGACGCGTGGAATCTGTTGCCCTTATAAATTTCTCACCGATCGTTTCTAAGGTATTGAAGAAGGAGCTTATTTGAACAGGTGTTGCCAAGCGAAGCTTCCGCATAGGCGCGAGCTTCACGAATTTCGTCTTGAACCGAAGGTGGCGGAATACAAGCAGGACGACGCTTCATTACAAATGCCTGGAAGAAGGTATCATCGGGGATTTCCACTGCCTCACCGACGTCATGTCCTGGGAAGTGCCACATAAAGTAGGACGCTCGGCTTTAATTGAGGCGCTTTAGTTTTTAGGTCAGGCAGAACAACTACACAAGCCTCCAGATATGTTTCGGCATTAAAAAGGAACACGAAAAGTTGGTTTTCTCTTCATTGAGTGAGATTCATAAAGGAGGTTTTGATAGGACAGGTAGGACAGGTAGGCCAGCTCTTTTACCTGCATGTGTACAGAACCACCGAGTGAATTCATCGCAATCGACAAGCCTAAAAACGCGATTGTAAAGCTCCAGGTCACACCCAAGCTGCAAATGTTCCACAAAATATCTAAAGCGCTTCAAGTCCGTGCACACCGGACATCCATATTTTACCCATTGCAGTGCTACACTGTCTTCTTTCTGCTAACCTTCAAATCAGTGAAAGTAACAAAACCCATGCCATCTGAACGCGGTATCTTATGTCTTTTCAGGATGTAGCCTTGACGCGTTTTGTCATTGTCCGTTGTTACTTCAAACACGCTTAGAGTTCCATCTGACAGATGGAACGAAATGACGCAATAGCGTCTTCTGGTGTTTTCCGTTGCACTCGCGTTAAACGGTTCTTGGAAAAAAGCGAAGAAACGCAGGGACTGACGATCATGCTTCAGCCATGCCGGCTGTTGGGTCGGTCTGAATGGAGCGGCACGTTCCAGCTTCTAGGCGAGAGCTCTAGAGCTATTGCCCAAGCAAGCAGCGGAAAATTCGCTGCCACATAGCCTTATTTAGATGTTATAAAACATAGAGACTAGTCAGTAGTCACCTGTATGAAAAACGTGTCGCTTCTTTTGCAGCCTTTCTTGCATCATGGGTACGGCGGTGTGATTCTCGTTCCTTTAAGCCACTCTGACTAAAGGATATCCACTCCTGTACGAAATGAGGAACAACTAATAAATCTAGGATTGCTTCTACCCTTAGCTTATCACTGGGGCCTCCATGACAGCAAGGTGACCTTGCTGGTGCTCTGAACTCCAGATGCAGCAGCTACTGTAGACTAATGATGGGACGCAGGGGCGTGAAAGAAGCTGACCTCCTCAGTGATAGTTAGAGGGGGAGGTTTCTGTCTGTCTTGCCGGCCCGAGGTTGTGACGGAAAGCGTCTGCTTTTTGAAATACTTCTCTCGCGCGCAGTGGTCAATGATCTGTTGTTGCTGCTTAATACTAAATGGCAAACAGAGAGCAAAGTCCTGCTGACCTGAGGAGACCGAAGGCCTCTGAAGATCCATTTTGCTTGCGTTTTTTTTGACCAGGTTCTACTGGTGGGCGAACTTAAGTCACGGCTGCTGATCAATAGCAGAACCGCCCCAAGGTCACCTTCCGAAAACCGCAGAATATTTCGAAATCCGGAATGGCGAGCCTCTAAATTCTGATTATTACGAATGTACTTCAGTAACTACTTCTTTCCTGATTTTTTTATCTTCCTTGCTGGGTGACACTTGAGACTACAGCTGCTGGTAACACCCCTCCGTGTCTAATCTCCTCCGTGGTTGGCATGCAAGAGAAGATTTCCTACAATTCATCTATGCGATCAGTTACATCTTGAATTTCCGTTTAGGTCCAGCTGCAGAAGTAGCGTTACATTACTAGCAGGCTGCTCCGAGCTGGCGGGACTCGCCGGGGCTGCGGCCCGCTACGTAGCGCACGAGCCTCTTTCATTGGTAGCGGGAAGGATCGGCGAAACCAGTGGCACAAACTAAGTTGGGAAAACATCTGCCCAAATGACTTGATAAATTTGACTGGATGGGTGAATATTGTTCTTCCCGGAACATAACTCGTCCAGCGCACTGCTGTCCCAAGCATTGTGCTTTAAGACCAATGTAAGCGGCAATTCGCAAGGCAAAACAAAGGGCAACATGAAATCGCGCCCCCGTCCAGTAAACTGGACGGATAGAAAACTAGCCGAGCAGACTGGCCATAACAGTTGAGAAGCGATGCTTGTCAACGAACTTCAAGCAATCACGTGCTCACGTGACTGCTTGGAATACTCGGACAATTGTTGCATAAGAACTGATACAACAGAGTTTGCGTGCACACTTTGCACATGAAGTTCCGCGTTGCTTAGGAGCTAAAAGATAGACTTAGCGGTGTCCAAAATGTGTCACCTAGCGTGGCATTTGCGACGAAGCTGTGAAGCCTTCAATGCTGTCCAAAAGAGCTTGGCGTAGGAAACAATACAAAGCAACTTGCCCCAAAAAGAGCGATGAAATGTTTCGTTGTGAAAGTGCAAGACTACAAGCTCGCCTCCTCAGCACCTATTTGCAGCACTACGTTACAAATCAGCTTGCCACGGGGGTTCCTCCCACAGTCAATTGCTCAAATAGCATTTAAAAGTGTGTCTGTGCTGTAGATTTATTGGAAGCTGCTAGGAAAAAGCTCAGGTGGACAGCCCACGCAACTCCAGGCATACCTTCTTTCTAGGCTGCTCACCGTCCTCACGGGCTGACGTATGATTCATATCACACTGTAGAATCGTTGTGACATCCACTGAAGCCTGTTGAAAATTGGCAGTAGTTTCGCCCACCTCCACTGCATGCGGATCTCGACTCTGCGAGAGCTGCAGCCCTGTCATGCCATGCTCGACGTTGCTTGCTGGGCTCCCAACGACGGCGCCAAGGCAGTCAAGGCGACTACCTCTGAGCCAAATGCAAGCGGCATCCGAAGGTCCTAGTGTCATGTCCTTTGCAGAAAGGCGTGCAGCGGAATCCCCTTCACAATTAGCGTGCATTTTGGAGGCTCCCTTGTTCCCTTCCAACCCTCCAGGTTGCAGTGTCTCTTTGCCTTGATCTCCTGTCTTTGGAAGTTGGAGAGAACCTGCTAGGGGTGGCAGAAAACGCTGTTGCAAAGTCTTCGCTGCTTTGACCACTTCAGCTTCGGATGCGCCCTGATTTGTCGAGAGAATGTTAAGGTGCTGCCGCATCAGTCGCGCCACCTCGGCGTCTGTTAGTTCTTGCGTAGTATCATCCTGGGATGATGATAGCGCAACTTGTGAAACTGCAACTGATTTCCTGGAACTTTGGAAAGGCTTTTTACTGAGCATCCGTCAAAGTACTAAGTGTAAATTGCAGTCGAAAAACAGTTGCCTGTAGCCTCGGTGTGAGCTCTGGAGCTGCACGGTCGCGTCAGCAGATGGTAGGTATCGCGGGGACGAGTTGCAACTAGGAGCAAAGCCTGACGAGCACGTAGCAGATCTGCTGTAATCAGGAGCCTCCTGAGGAGAGGCCCCGCTGCTTTCTGACATTCGAACTCGGGACCACGGCGCAATTAATAGCTACTTTTGGTGGGCATTTTTAGTACTATTGTGGGTACATTTCAGCCCCCAACGTCTCACAAAGGCCTATTTTCCCATCCCCTGCGTTTGCTTCGGGAGAAGTCGTTTTCACACCTTCGCGAACCATTGCAGCGAGATTAGACGCACTTCCAGTGTCCAAAACGATTTGCGTCAACAGGCACTGCGAGAATCTCTCGCGATTGCACAACTATACGCAGAGAGAGCTATACTTTCATGGCGTTTCGAATGCGGAAATGTGGAGGACCTGTCCCAAGCAGTGAAAAGACGGACCGCCCAAGGAGCCCTGGTTGACAGGTTTCGTATTGCGCTGGACGATACTCACGACGTATTTATATTTGGCACTCGAAATAGCAAAAAAGAAGTTAAAAGCGCAAAAGTATGTTTGGAACGCGACGGCTTATGTGTCACGTAAGTGCCTCCCTCCCTAGAGGCCCCCCTTGGGGCCCCTTCTAAGCTTCAGTTGCCCATAATGTGCAGTCACATTCAGCAGCAGCTCCATCAATTTTCCAGATGTTCATTTTTACATTTTTCCATCTTCACCGTCACCGTACAGCTCCATGTTAGGGCTCGCTCTCAGCCACTCAGCAAGTTATGGTCTTCCGGAGATACTCGCCCTGCATACTGTGAAGGACTAAGATCTCTGCCTGCGCTTTCCAAACAGCAAGCCACAACTTGACTGTAATGGGCTCAAGCTGAAGTAAATCCAGGAAAAGCGTTCGTAAGATCGCCCACGGCACACATCCCTGCCGATGAGTTTGTCAAGGGTTCCTCTTAGGAATACTCTCCCAAAAAGCATCCTACCTTTATCTGTAATTGCACAAGATGTGTATATAGCATCTAGGGGAGAGAGTCGCCGCTTGCCAGCGAAAAATGGATGGCAGCCAAGGGCTCGTGTTGCTTTTTCTGTATACGACATCGCTGGTGCGACACAGCACCACATACAACGCAGAAAGCGCATCCCAGACAGGGACAATGCATCATCTTCCATCAATCTGACAGTTAATCAACGGCGATGCGTCTTCACCGCTGCATCGCACACTGTTCCTGGTGCTGCCAGCCCAGCACCTGTCGCTAGGAACCTGGCTCCTGTGGCTGACAACCCTGTTCCTGTCGCTAACAACCCTGTCTCTGTCTCTGGCAACCCCGTTTCTGCCTCTGATAATCCTACTACTGCCAACGAATCCCAATCGCCACAGGCCCTCCCGCAGCGTCTCACGGCAAGGGAAGAATTCATGGAAGCTCTTGAAATTTTCAAAGAGAAGGCTGACTCGGGCTCCATATACCTACTAGAATCCGTAAGCCAGAGCTGTCTTCACGCAGACAGACTTGGGTATGCCGTTATGATTCACGGGGAGGCAACGGTTCAGGCGCTGCTGCAGCATTATTTGATGCTAAGAGTACAGCAATCAGAGGACAAGGGCGGCCATATTGTTAGATTGTTTTTTTCTTAACATGGGCCGGCGGAAATGCACATCATTTCGCATTGTGCATATACACGGTTAAGTGTTGCTTGCACGCAGCGCTTGGAGATGGCTTTTGCAGGACATGCAGATGCGACTGCCAAGCTCTCCATCATTCGCCAGCTAACCAGGGACCTGGAACTGCTAAATAGGGAGAAAACCAGTGTATGAAGGCCAACCCAGGCACATGCCCGTTGTCAGCTCACTTCAAGTCACGACTCTAATGATTGGTCGCTGTTAGGTTTGAACAGGTCTGTTTGGCCTTTCACTGAATAATTGGTCCATTTGTTTTGTGTGGCGCAGCTCTCGATGTTCCGCCATCAGACTCCCAAGGAAATAAGAAGTGAATACACTCAAATGATGCTCACGGGGCTCTTCACTGGACTAGCTGCAGCCATCCATCCTGTGTTTTTTATCGTACGCATGCGAACGATCATGAGTTCTCCGAGCAAAAGCTGCCAGTGCGCCTAAGTGCGTTGAGCCATGTGCAACGGCTTGTTTTATTTAGTGGATGTGCTGATGTCAAATCAGGGCAGCATATACGGCTTGGTTCGAATGCGTAGAACCAAACGAGCTGAAGTAGACCGCGACGGTGAGCATGAAAACACACTGCACAGGTCGGACCTGCCGAGGAATCACGTGCAGTCAAGTAAAATAAACGCACTAGGCACACGCACGGCAACAGCTTACGCCCGCGACCCGCGCACTGTGCTCATCTGCACTTCTGTGTCTACAGCGGGAACGAAAAAAATGGATGAAATCAACCAGATTGTAAAGGAGAAACGGGCCCTTTTGAACGTTCAAATTGAGGCGCTGTCTCAAATAGTAAGAGTGGATACGCTTAATCAGTGCTTTCCCTGCTTAAGCGTCACGCCGTGCTATAGACACAAAAACACTAATAGTCAGAGCGAGCTTGCTGAAACGCTAGGCTTTCAGTTTACACCTGCATAGTACACTAAGTCTAGCCAGAAAGCAATCCTTTTGTATTCGACATGTCAGTGCAGAAATATGTACACTAATTAACGTTAGAGAAAGAAAAACGCACAGAATAATTGTTTAATTTCCCGTCCGTCCTTATGCTCCTGTGCTACGTAATCACAGGCCAAGACGGCGCAATGTTCCTGATGACGAAACTGAGAAAAGAGTAACTGGTTTTGATCCGGAGGTGTTTGAATAATACTGAGCGCATGTGGACCTTTTTTGAGAACAATGACAACTCAGGCGTTGATCGTTCAACGCGTTGTGCGGCCCCATTCGGCTAGACAAGGAATTGGGTCCGGTGAAAAGGGGAAAATTCCAAATGCTTCGCTGCCGTCCATGAGAGCTATTTGGAGTTTTGCTGGAGGCGGTGTAGCATAGCTAACTGGCTACAGTTTCGTGTGACAAGGGGAATACATCTTTCGGTAGTGTGTCTATCCATGGCGTATGTACAGGACGCACATAAGGTACCAAAGTCCGCAGGATCACCTTTTCACGAGAGTGCATCACACCGCGTGATTACACTGATACGAGATTACCAGATTTTGTTTTGGAAGGCAAACTGAAAAATAAACAGTTCTCCGCGGTGTAGCTCACAGTATAGGATGGCTGACAAAGTTGCGCCCATCGGAACAGGCAAGCGGCGCTTGTACTACCTTCCCGTGCAGCTACATTTGCCATTTGGTCTTATAGGACATACTACCCGCCGTTGTTTCAGGGGTTCAGATAGCGGCGAATATCGTGCAACGGAACGAAGTGAAGTTGGACCTGCTCCAGTCAACTGCGCTCAACAATGTGCTGCGTTTCTGTCCTCCGATACAACCTGGGCGCATGAAGATGGCTGTTATTCCAGTAGGACTGCAGAAAGACGCTTGACAGTTGGTGCTTGATGGGAACCCTTGCAGACAGGAAGGACGTAGCCAGCTTATTGGGCGTAATTGCAGCTCTGACGCGGGAGCTGGAGTCTAGGAATGAGTATATAGAGTCGAACATACGCAAGATGGCAGGTGTGTCCAACGAGCTCTTCGACAGAATGAACAGTTTTAACTGTTTCCCAGCGCTCTCAGGGTCCCTGGAAAGAGCGTTGCGTGTCGAGTTTCTGTGGGCTCGCACTTGTGTATTGGAATGGGCTGTTTCGATTGGAGCGATTCTGTTCATTGCCTGCCTCTTTGGAACAGCATTTTGCTGAGGCACAAATAACTTGGTGGCTTTTGGGCACCTTAGCTCGATTTTTTACTAGTTTGATTCCGTGCTCAAAATGCTGCGCGCCGTTAGATGTGGATGGCCCAGCCCCCGAGCTAAACAATTGGCTTGCAGGGGATCCCTAGCTCCCAACGCTCAGTGAATTCAATAAATGTGTTTTGAATTAGAAAGTTTGGAGCTCCAAGTGCATTGCCGTGTAGGTCTCACTCATCTGCGCTGCATGCCTTAGTGGATGGCTTCGTGAGGCGTCTTGTTAACTGGAAGTTGTGGGTTTGTTGCTCGTGTAGGTGTCTTCTTTCGTGCTTCTTGCTGCTGTGGCAGTTGCGTCGTCGGATGCCCGTGGTGCCTCCTTGCACCGTTTTTGAACGCCTCGAGGCCATGAAACTTTCTGCCATTCAGGTGTACTTCATGAGAGCGACTCAAACGGGATAAAATAAGAGGAAAATAGCAGCTTCCGTTAATCATCAAATTTTTCTTGCACTTTCGACCCCGCCCTAGCTTGCGCAACCAATTTTTGGAAGGAGGCATGACAGTAGCTCCTGTATGCAGGATGCAGTGTAGTCAAAATACCCAGGAATGGCGCAGTTGCTGATGGGTATTCGCGTAAGTACCTGCAAAGGTGGCATACCCAGCTACTCTCCAGCAGGGAGAAATGAGTACGGAGTGCACTTATGCCTCTGTTCATGCTAACTCAAACACCTGCCTTTGCACTACAGTGCAGCAGGGTTAAGCGGTGTTGCGCGCTGCACTCATGCACAGAAATGGCCTTGAGAGGCCGCATGAATCTAGCGTCCTTGGACGACTGAGCAACAATGTGACACTTGTGTGTGTTAGAGTGTGAGAATTTGGAGAGGTCGTACTTGTGACACAGACTACACCGGAGTGACGAGAGCAGTCGCGTCTTCAGGACCTTCTTGTGCGCCTTGAAGTTCCATTTCATCGAGATGAAGCTAGATAGACGACAGTGGCCAAGCTGTGGATAGACGAACAGAGGCATTACGGGAGGCGAACGCGCCAGGCGCCACAGACATGATAAAGGGCTGAACTGCGCAGTGACGACAGGATCCAACTCCATACGTGACTGCAAGCGCGTGAACAAGATGGGCCAGCTGAGGATATGTAGGGACTTTTCTAGCTGGGAGCAGAAAAGTGTAACTAAGCCTTAGAAAGGGAACTAGATGCTCTAATAGCCAATGAGCTTAAACGCGGAGGCAAAGTATGAGAAGAAGTGAATTTATCGTTCGAAAGCATCATTTGTGTCCCGCAGTTGTAGAGCGAAACGCTTTGTGAAGAGCCGATCAGTGAGTGCCGGGTAGTGCCATGTGAAGTCAATGCGACGGCGGCTATCTTAGGTTGTCGGCCACACCTGTGGAACCGTCTTGAACGCTGGCTGCAGAGGACGTGTAGCCCAAACTACGGTGGTTCCGGAAAAAAATAGGGTTTCAGGGTAGCTATGCGTGAAAGGCTGCATCTTTATGCGTTACTTCCAAACTAACAATATGGTACAGCCGTAAATGCTGTTCTGGTGACGTCCTGTTCCCGCATTTCGGGGACTCACGTGATTTACACGGCATACGTTAGCGCGGTACGTTCAATCTGGCAAACTGACAACCTATGTGAGCTGCAGATTGTGTGACCTGACCCTGACCCGCGGAGTGCACAACCGAAACGGAAGCAGCGAGGCCGGAGATCGCACAAACGAAGCCACTTAAAGTTGAGGGCTATGGGCTGCTGGCGAGACTGGTGTCAAACATGATAGCGGGGGAGGCAGCGACACTCATATTCTCACCAACTAATCGATGCAAACAACACGCAAGAGCAAAAGTCAAGGCGCATCAAGGAGCCCGCTCGGCAAGTGGTCGCAAGTCCACATCATCTTAAGGGCTCAATGCAGGAAAGCTCATGCGTGCTCCACCCTAGTTGAACACTGGGGCCAACGTACGGCTCTGTAAATAAAGCCGCTGGGCACCGGCACGTGCGCTTCAATTGCTCATCCAAAGAGGCCTACAGACGGTCGCAGCGCCATCATTCAGTGGCCCGGGCCCTGAAGACAAGGAGTCGCCGTGGCCCAGCTCTAAGCTCGAGTATATTCTCCTTGATGAGTTAGTCCAGGACCCAAAACCGCGTACTACTCCAACCGAGATACTTGACGTATTACTTGGACATCAAGGCATTTTCCCCTGCACACTTATTGTTAGGGCATCTCCATGGCCACCGCCTCTTAGCACTCCTATTCAAGCCTTTTAGGAAATCATTTATTTATGGTATGGGGCCTCATCAGCATAGCGCTTACAAACAGGTAAGATGCCAGCAAACGGGTGAATTTGCCCTACCTAATGATCCAGAAGTGACGGAAAAATCATCTGCGGAATTTGATATGGCAGCTCCTCCGCATGATCCCCCTGAATGCCGGTGTCCCCTATTAAAGCTATAGCGTAGAGGCTTGTTTGAGATTGAATGAAAAGCAGTCTTTCACCTTTCCCTAGGTCGTGAGCTGGTTAAAGAGCTGGCTCCCACCAGATTTTTAAGGCCGAGAAGAACTGTTTGCTCGTTTTTGTTGCTAAGCAAGGGGAAAGCAGTGCATTTCAGTTTTGAAGTTGCCCGGGCTGCTCTTTCAGCCAATGCCAAAGCGTACTTCCATCCGTTACAGACGCAGACCTTTGCAGCATACCTAAACGGTGCGCCTCTTAATAGCTCTGAACTTCCTCTACACGCTGACCTACGGAGGACTGTTCTTTGCATATACGGTAAGCATTACTTTTGCCGCAAGTTGGGCAGCTATAAGTTTGCGACGCGAGCTACTTTGGTTATACTAGTAGCGCACAGGGTAGCTAAGTACATAACCAGCCACTGATAGCAGACAGCCAATTAGTAAAACGCCCGAAATTTTGATGAACGAGAATTAAGGAAGCTAATTTTTTGGTATATTGAACTATTACTGCACGTACAAGGGGCAGAAACTTGTCTATTTTGCTTGCCATCTTTTCGTCCTCATCCGCAATGTTTTTCTTTGGAGCTAGTCCATTTAGCTTCTGCTGCCTTTGTCCTCTCCCGGAATGGCATCTTCTTTATTTCCAGCCAGAGTTTCACACACGTGAAGTATGAAGGCTTAAGGGGCACTTGATCGACAAGGCGATCGCATAAATTCTCGAGACCACGAAACCTTCTAAGCTGCACGCCGCCACGATGCGCTATCTCATAGGCGCAGTCATCCTGAAAACGCAAAGGCCGATTGGTTCCATGGCCAGGTTGTGAAACCAACGTAACAAAAATATTCTAGCTCTGACGGAGAACTAGGGGACACAGTCACAGCTCTGTAGAAACGGCTTCACTTAGTACGCTGCGCTGCTACGGCTTGCACGAAGTATCACGCTCACCCACACACAACGGCTGAACGCGCTCAAAGCTTTAGGTCATTGCAGAGCTCGATCGTGTAAGCTAGTAGCGGAGTTACAGGATCTAACGGCTGCTTACTGAAAAGCTGAGCAGAATCAGAGATGCTGAAGAACTTGCGCAGGCTTAACCGGGTTTATTGCCTTGTATTGCAGTTACGTCCTAACGGCTATTATATTCGTGGGAATCTGTAGTGTGGCGACCTCAACAGTATTAAACCAGCCGTGGACTCTGGTGACGTGACATCATGCTGGCGAGCTAACCTGTACGTTCGCCTTGACCGCCTCACCAGCCACTTACAACACTTACTAACACGACTATGATGCGTGCAAACTTGATGGCAGCCCGAATATGTTTCTACGTTCACTGTATGTTTCCTCTCATGCTGCCCTGCTTAAGCCTGGCCCCTAAACTACCATACTGAATGCTGGAACTTCGAACCAATCATCCCGTTTCTCTACAAGCTTGAATTGTAGCCAATGCCAAGCGCCAAGTATTTCATGAGCTCCAGGAAATCTCAGCACGCCGAGCCGATTCAGCTACACGAGTGAAGTTTCATCATTGCCTGAGTGCCTCTTTTTTAAGATGCCCTTAGTTTTTGGTCTTCTTCCACAGCATGGAGAACACTTATGTTCTACGGTTTTTTAAGCTACTTAAACGCTACCCAATGTCCCGAATGATCGTGTGACTACCGGCCATACCAGAATGAAGAAGGCATTCTGTTATTTAAATTAAAACAATATCAGCCCGCCATGCATATTCACATGACGGAATACATGGAGTTTTAGTTCCACTGCGAAGTGTCGACTAGGGGCTTCCAACGTTTCACCAGGGCAGTCTAATCCTTTTACTGCTGTAGGGCACTGTCAGTCTGTGTCTCACTACCAGCTTCTCATTACTTCCATTCATGGCTCCATACGAATGCTCGTTGACTCTCTAGCAAGGTGCTCTATTCCATTCCCACGAAGAGGACTACACTAGCAGACACAGTCTGTAGTGAGCACAGCCACACCACACTCCTACACGGGTTTGCCTTCTTGCTATATAGGGACGTACACATCCAGTAAGGACGAAAAAACCAAAATTGACCTTATAAACATGAATTAAGTCTGTTTCTTTTCTGGACTCCCCGACGCCTTCGGCAACTGTCGGTATGCATGTGTCCCCTCACGCTGCCCAGCTGATAGCCAGTGTAGTGCACTGGGGAACCACTGTAGGGCCTGCGCTCCGCAGCTAGTCCCAATCTGTGGCCTCCAGCAGAGCAGCCCAAGCCCAGTCTG